ACTTCAGAGGAAGAGTTTAAACTATGACTTTTTTTCAGGAGCAACTTCATTTTATTAGGGGATCTTTGAAAGGGGAAAAAACTTTATGACTCAAAGTAGCAATGTATAGTGGAGGAGACTTTAGGTGATGACTTATGGGTGCCATTGAGAAAGTTCTTTTTAAGGCGTATATTTGGAAAAGTGCCCCCCCCTCACCCCACAGTTTATCACACCAGGTAAGCTGATGCCAACTTGATTGAACCTACCTCTCCCCTCTCCTCTGAAATAAGAAGCTGGCTTCATTATATAATCTACCTTCTCCCCCTACTATTTTCTTGAAATCTACGATGATTCAAAAGCTAAATCCAATGGGTAATTTTTAGCTCCCCTCCAATTTGACTCGCCCTTGCTAATGACTTTCCCTTTGGAAACTGTCTTTGGTATCATCCTTTTGATTCCCTCTCCACCTCTTTCAGTATTTCCCCCCTCCCCCCCCCCACAACCCTAAATTATTCTCACCAGTTTTCTTTCTTTTCCCACACATACTTCTTTTGGGAGATAAGGTTGGCACTTCCCATATGGAAAGCCTTCTCTCTCTCTCTCTCTCTCTCTCTCTCTCTCTCTCTTTGTCATTGCGTTATTTCTTTCACTCTTTTGTCTTTAGCTATTATCTCAGCGCCTACCACTTCCTGCCAGGTCATTCTCTCTCTGGAGCTTCAGAAATCCTTCCAGATTTGCCATGTGTATCTTCTTAAGATGTAAATGAAACAAGCCCAACATCAAGTTCTTTGTATTTCCAACTTGCATCTTCTCTTGCATTTCCTATCACAGTTAGTGACATCACCATTTATTCAACAACCCTCTCCTCCTAAACCCACTATACAACTCATGTTTATTCTTGGACTCTCACTTGCACATCCAGTGGACTGCCAGGTTCTTTGGTTGGTCTTTCTAAATTAATTCAATAACTCCTCTCAATACTCAGTCCTTCTCCTTTATCTCCCCTATTTTATTGCAAAAGCCTAATTATAGACTAAATTTTTCTATTTCAACAGTAATGCTTTTGTCACACTGCTACCAGATATGATCATTTGCCTCTTCATTTAAAATTATGGTAGCTCCCTATGTTTACAAGACAAAGCAGGTAATTCATTCATTCATTCATTCATTCATTCAATATAAGGAGTTCCTACCAAGAGGCTAACACTGAAAAACTATTGGTGAACACAGGTTAACATTTTATATATTTTTTCTTTACTCAATAATCTAATTCCAATGTAATTCTATGGATTTATTTTTTCTTCCTAACACACACTACCCTCTGCCTACTTCTCCCACTGCTTCATTCTTTGAAAGGTATCTTGAACTCTGGCTAGTCACATATGTTATACATTCTGCTAAGATATCATGCTCTACCGTCTTGGTGAACCCCTGCTTGTTGGGAGATAATTCTCTGTGGATTACTTACATTTCTGCACTTTTGTGAGCAGAAGCACTCACTGCCAGTGTTCTGGATTATCTTTGCCAGGATATTTGTATGACAAGCATCCTTAGAAGACAGAGATAGTGTCTTCTGAGCACAGGGCAGGCATGTTTATTGACCATTATAAAAAAAAATTGGCCACCCTAAGCTCAGGTTTTCTCCTCTGCAATACAACCCACTATGCAGGCAAGTGTTACTTGCCCCTTTTTGGGTCATCCATGGGAATTGGGACTCAGGAAACTGGTATAGGAAAATGCTAAGGTTCTGGCTATGACTATGGCTCTGAGTTAAAGCCCTTTCGGTTTGATTCAGGAATCTCAAGTTTTCTGCCAGCATCCATGAAACTGTTGCATGAGAGTTTGCTCATAGGCTAAAATCTCAAAACTTTACAATTCTAAACACATTCATTCATCTTTTAAGATCCGGCTTAAATCTTTCCTCTTTGATACAAATACCACTGATTCTTGTAGGCATATTTATTCTTGTAAATCTGTGATCTTCCAGAGCATTTTTGTTGTTATTGTTGTTTTTAAATAGTAATGGACACATTATGTTGTGATTATGCCTTTCCAAGTCTATCTCCTTGCTAGATTAATAGCCTTTAGAATCAGATACCAAGTCCCAGTTACCTGGTAGCATTTATGGAATACACATTAAGATATTTGATAAACATTGATGAATCAATGAATGCAGTTCTTCTTTTCCTGAATTCCTCCTAGTCCACTTCTTCTTTATAATAGCTGAGGTATTGAGTGACCTATTTAAATTTTACTTTCAAAGCCTCCTCCTCCTACTCTCATTCTATAACTACTGGGAATGATCACTTCTTCTATGCCTTCTATCCCAGTCAGAAATTACCCCACCCTGGAAATATTTAATATTTAAATTGCTTCCCCATTTGTGATATAAAGCCAAAGTCCCAAGAGTACAGAAAATACATTGAACATCTATGGTTCCAACATTTTATATGAAAGTAGCTTTATCTTACTGTATATGTCCTTATACCCAAATGTAATCATTCTGTTTAAATGTTTGCAATTTTCTTTTTAACCCTTAAGATGTTATAAACCACAGCTTGACATTGATTGAATGAATGTGTTTTTTACTTTAATTTGTGATCTGGGGCATCACTCCATGATCAGGCTGTTTTAGCCAACACTGTCGATAACTACTATTCTTTGAGTATTCCACCATCCAAGCTTCTATTATTCAGGTCACATTGTCTGCTGCACCAGTTATTAACTAATTATCTTTTAGAATTAGTTGCAAAAAGAGTAAGAAAACCATATTTAGGAGAACGGTGGAGAGGGTAATAGAAACAAGTTTGAGCATTAGTCAAACCACCAAATCTCATTGGCTTGACTCAGTGAGTCCAGGTTGACTCTCCAGGTTGACTCTTCTTACAGTAACTTGAGAAAAAACTACTTAGATCTCGAGTCTCTGTTGTCTTCTCAACTGAGTAAGATGCCTCAACAGGAGAAGAGTGAGTGGAGAGTTCATAAATTCTTCAAATCCCGTTGGTCAAAGATAAATCATATGGCCCCATCAAATTGCAAAATCTGAGAATAGTGGTGAGCATTACTAATGACAACAGAACTAATTTTATTTAAATTTTGAGAGAAAGAGTTCAATCATGTGAAAGAATATCAAGTCTGAGAGGAAATGAATTTATTGGTACCGACTACAGAAGTTCTCTAATTTTTTTCCATTTATGACACCTTCAGTATCTCAGTATTTTTTGCATGGATTCCTAGGTCAAAATAAATAAATAACTATATTGTTAATTGAGTGGTTAGGTCCAAACAATTGAAAATCTATTTATAACAACTTAAAAAACATATTTAAGAAAAAACTATACCTAGTTGAAAGAAAAAAATTATTTTCGTTTTAACCACAGTTACTTACTAAAAAGATGTGTGGGCCTCTTGGGCACCACACACCTCTCAGACATTGTAATCAGATTGGCACCACTACCCTCATTTCCTGTTCTACATTGATTTTCACTCTTATTTCCTTTTTGTCTAGCAACCACCAAAACCCAGCTTCACAAAGATATACCATCACTGAGAGGAATGTAATATGATCTAATGTTGAAACTGTGAACCACTTTGAGCTGGTAGTTCACACAGTGGCTGACAGATTTTGAATATTTCTGCATTTTTCTGGAAAATTTGAAATAGCCCATAGCACCCTAAGTGTACTTCAGTGTCCTGGAGTGCCTCCGTGCAGTTTGGGAACCACAAACTAGGTACCATATATAGGTCCCTTACTTCTCATAATAGTTGGAAGGTAGGTGTTATCATTCCCAAGTTGGATGAGAATACTAAGATTTGAAAAGGACATGCATTCTTCCCCAAACCTCCTACTTAGTAATTAGCAGAGCAGAGGCTTGAACCCAAGCCTTCTGGCTCTAAACCCCATTGCATCATGCCATGTGTCATGAGATTTGCAGGATTAAGTTTTTCACAGCTTCCTCTCCCCATGACCTTTTGTGGGTTTCAAGCAGTATTGAAATGATTTTTTTTTTAACATGTGGAAGTGCTTGAAACTCATGGAAATGATTTTAAGTCATGTCTACATTTTTAGCTTTAAGGCACACCTGCTAGAAAATAAATTCTCTTGAGTCGAGATTAAAGAACCTTAAAATGGTTTTAAACTGGCCCCAAGGAAGATTGTTTAAGCTTTGAAATCAAGACAGTACATTTCTAATTAACTTGTAATTATTTTACTGCTAATTTTTAATGTGAAGTTTAGTATGGACCACATACAACTTTTTCTCCAGCTGTCAGGACAGTGCCTAAACTAAACCTTCTTCACCAGCTGTTGCCTAATTCACTATGGTCCATGTTGGAATTTTTCCAACTCTGCCTGCATGTAATTTCCAAGTCTCAACAGACCCGTGCAAAAATGAACCATAACTATAATCTTTCATGTTACTCATAGTTCTATTTAATTATCTGAAATACTACCTGATAAATAGTGCAATCAGAAGAATTCCAGTTTAACAGTAACTACTTCCACATCACTTTTCTGCTCTCATCTAATTTGAAGCAGGTTTTGGATTACTACCTCTAAATTATGTAAACTCCTAATCAATGACTAATTTAAGAATCTTCAAACTGTTGCCTTTTTTCTGCGTGTGGTTCCTAAGTGTCAATGAATTCAGGCCTAGTCAAATGAAATTTTTTTTCTCTAGATTTTTTTAGACCTTTATTTTCTATTGAGCTTGTTGAGGGGATGAAAGATGGGTGGTTAGACCAAAAAAGAGTAAATCCTTCCAACAGAATATTGTTTTCAAAGAAAATGTTTCTTAATGTAGAATTAAAAGTATATTGACATTAAATGCCTCTGAAATAGATTATAATTCAAAGAAATATCTGAAGTGGAAAACTGCTCTTTATTTTTTTAAAAACGCATCAACAAAGGGCAGTGGGATGACATTTCTTGAGCACCCTGTCAGTGCCAAGCATTTTGCATTTATTTTGTTTGAATCTAAAACCAACACTGGGAGGTCATTGTTCTTACCTTCATTTTGCAGATGAGGAAACTGACAACTGAGAGTCTGAGGAAATTTCCCAAGTTTACACATGAATAAATGTGAGACCTTGCATTCAAACTCAGGTGGGTCTGACATCAATGTGGCAGCTGTGGCTTTTGCAGACAGGGCTGTGCTGTCTTCAGATCAACACATGTGGGGATAGGCTCATGTCTTTTATGTTTTATAACAGTGATAGTACATAAAACATGATATTAATTTTCATCTAATACCGGGTGGGACAAAAGTAGGTTTACAATTGTGTGTGCCTCACCCTGTACTTATTGAGTGCCATCATGTGACTGCTGCTTTTCTAGAAGCTACTTAGAGCTAGTTATGAATGCTAACATTTATTAAGCTACAGGACATGTGCATTTTCTAAGAGTTCATGATTTATTTTTTAGCTCTTTTGTTATTTGATATTAGGGATCTTAAAGTATCCCAGTGAGTTGGTGATGATCTAGATTCTAGAATATTGAAAAAAATCTTGGACTGGATCCCAGGAGACCTGTGGATCCATGTTTGCCTTTTCTACTTGGTACCTTGGTGATCAAGAATTAATTTCCATGTCTGGCGCTCATTTTCTTCATAAGTACTAAAATTCTGTGATTTTTTTTACTAAGCACACTCATGTTCTATATGTAATTCCCAATGATCCATGTGAATACAGTGAAATGCTGGTGGTATACATAACTTAGAACTAAAAGAAATGCCTTTGGATGAAGCTTTGGGAGGTATAAATGAGGTATAGTGATTGAAGCCCTTAAAACACTATACCATTTGTATTAGTTTTCTTTTGCTATGTAAGAAATTACCACAAATGTTGTGGCTTAGAACAATACACATTTATTACCTCATGGTTTGCATAGGTTAGGGGTCTGAGCATGGTTTAGCGGGGTCTTCTGCTTAGAGTCTCACAAGGTTGCAATCAAAGTGTCAGTGGGCTGCACTCACTTCTGGGGCTTGGTCTTCTTCCAAGCTCTGGTCATTGGCAGCATTCATTTCCTTGAGCTTGTAAAATGGAGGCCCCTATTTTCTTGTTGGCTGTCAGCCAGGAGTAGGTGGCTCTCAGCTCCTAGAGGTTGCCCGCAATTTTTTGCTCTATGGCTTCCTCATAAGCCCTCTCAAAACCTGGAGCTCATTACTCAAGCCAACAAGAAAGGGTCCTCCCTCCAGTCTGCTAAGATAAAGTCATATATAATTGTACTGGGTTTAATAGTGTCCCCCAAATTCATGCCTATCTGGAACCTCACAATACGACCATATTTAGCAAAATGGTCATTGCCTATGTAACTAGTCAGGTTAAGATGAGGTCATACTGGAGTAGAGTAGGCCCTAATGGAATTACTTGTGTCCTTATAAGAAAATAGAGGCACCCAGGCACACAGAGGGAAGACAGGCATATGACAACAGAGCCTGAGATTGGAGTTAGGCTTCTACAAGCAAAGGGACACTAAGGATTTGTGGCAACCACCAGAAGCTAGAAGAGGCAAGGAAAGATTCCTCCCTTAGAGCCTTCAGAGAGGGCATAGACCTACAGACACCTTGCTTGCAGACTTCTAGCCTCCAGAACTGTGAGAGAATGAACCTCTGTTGTTTCAAGCCACCAAATTTGTGGGACTTTATTATGGCAGCCCTAGAAATCTAACACAACAACATAATGTAATCATGGGAATAACAATATCTCATTACCATTGCTATATAACATAACCATAACACATCCTATTACTTGTGCCGTTTTTGTTGGTTAGAAGCAAGTTACAGATGCCTCCCATGCTGAAGGGGCAAGGATTATGCAAGGCAATGACTTATTGAGATCATCTTAGAATGTATCTGCCATATCAATGCAAGGTTATATTATTTTATTTTGTGAAAGTGGGCCCTTCCATTATGTAGAAATTGAATTAAGCAGCCTTATCTAACTCTCTTTATCATTTGTAACTATTTCAAAATTATCTAAAAAGATATTTTATTAAAGAGCTTCAGTGTAACTGATTTTTTTTTAAACTGATGGCTTTTTTTCTTTAAAGTTTATTACCGCTGACATTTTCTGTGCTCTTATTTGCCTTTTAAAAATGGATATGTAGATATTTTGGCTACGAGTTGTTTTGAATTTAAAAGTCAGTCATTTGAAAGTATAAAAAGAAAAACAGAAATTTATTAGCTAAACTCTGTCCTTTTAAAGGACAATAGACATATGAAAAAATGCTCGACATCACTAATCATCAGAGAGATACAAATTAAGACCACACTGAGATTTCGCCTCACACCTGTCAGAATGGTTACCAACAATAAATCAACAAACAAGGGCTGGTGAGGATGTGGAGAAAAGGAAACCCTCATGTACTGTTGCGGGGAATGCGGTTTGGTATAGCCACTGTGGAAAATAGTATGGTGTTTCCTTAAAAAGTTAAAAATGAAACTACCTTTCACCTAGTGATTCCACTTTTGGGAATATATATGAAGAAACCCAAAACATGAATTCAAAAGAATATATGCACCCCTGTATTCATTGTAGTGTTACTTACAATAGCCAAGGACTGGAAACAGCCCATGTGGCCATCAGTAGGTGAATGGATAGAAAAGTTGTGGTACATTTACACAATGGAATACTACTCAGCTGTAAAAAAGGAGGAAATCTTACTCTTTGCAACAGCATGGTTGGACCTGGAGAATATTACACTAAGTGAAATAAGCCAGTCAGAGAAAGACAAATAACATATGATCTTACTTATATGTGGAATCTAATGAACAAAATAAATTGATGAACAAAATAGAAACAGAGGCAGGGACACATGGAACAGATGTATGTCATTCTGTTGAATGACAGCTGAATGAAAGAAGGTAAAGGAATTAACCAAAACCAAACAAATATATGCATATATACAAATATAACACATAGGCACAGGCAAAAGTGTGTTGATAGCCAGAGGGAAAGTGGGATGGGGTGATAGGTGTATGTGGGCAAAGAAGGGGAAAATGGGGATGGAGAGAGACTTTGCTTGGGGCAATTGGCACATGGTGCAGTGTGCAGATGATGTTTTATTGAGTTGTACACTTGAAACCTGTATGGTTTTGCAAACCAATATCACTTGAATAAATTCAATAAAAAATTAAATAAAAATATCATTAGCACTCTGAGATATTGGTCAATTGATCAGTATTCCACTGAGCAGCTGCCATATACTTAGCATTGTACAATATTATTACGTATACTTCAATATATATTTGCTACTTAAAATTATAAAATAATGTGGCCAAATGAAAACTCTAAGTCATTGTAAGAGTCATTGCTCTCAGATTACTCTACCTAGGATATACTAATACAAAATATTGGTCAATTCCATCATATTTATTAGATTTCACAAAGCTGGAATTCAGGGTTAGCAGGAACCAACCAAGCAAAGTGATGACTATTTATAAGCTACAGGTACTCTGTGGTTTCACATTGTTCTTGAATCCAAACTTCCACCAGTGCTATGAAAGGCAGGCAGATTTGTGAACTAATATTCCAAACACATCTCTCATATTTTCCTATGGATTTCTTTGTGGGCTGTGAGACAGACATGTGTTTTTCTTTGGGTACTGCCATAGAACTCCCTTATGGGATAGATTTCAACCCTTAGTTAACCTTCGGAAAAATAATTTCCTTATATGTGAACTTGGTGCATATTATGTTGCATAACAATTTTGGGTACATAGTTCCTGACCTTTGAAATATTCTCTGAGGTTCATACTTTTATTTCAGAGATAGTTTGTTTGAAAATCTATCAGTATTGTCAAAGATAGAAGCTAACATACACAGTGCTATCAAAATCAGGTCCCTAAACTATGCCTGATTCTATAAAGATCACAATCAAAATTCCCCCCTCTTGCCAAATTCCTATCTTTAACACTGCCTGAATAATCCTTTAGGGTATTGGTGTTTAATACTGCCAGAAAGAGGTATTAAATGCTATAATCCCAGAAATGTTATTTGGATAATATCAAACATGGAAAAATAAAGTACATTCTAGGTCTTTAATCTTAGAGTTGCCATGTAATATAATGAAGTGAAATTGCTTCATATAAAGAAGTTCATATGGTTGAGTTCCAGGCTCTGGATTTTAGCAAAATGAACTGAAGTGTTCTACAAGTCCCTGATGAAACTTAGATGATCAGAGGCAGCAGTTCTCCTTTGAGTTTTCTGTATTAGGTCTCTCAGTGAGAGAGGTCAGAATCTTATAGATAAAATCACAAGCTCTGGAGTGGATTGACCGAGTTCAATTTTGAGCTTTGGCACTCTTTAGCTATAAAATGGGATGGGATGGTACATCATAGGGAATTTATGGTGATTAAATAATGAATGTAAATTGCATAGCATGAAACCTAGCATGTAGGAAGTGCTTAATATTTATGCTAGCTAAAATGCATCAATAAAAATGAAATTTGAACTCAACACGCACTTCCAAGTGTCTATGAGGCAAACTTAGCTATGGAGAAATTTGCAAATTATCTTGGGATTTTCTTTGGACTAGAATATTTTGACACCACCCATCTTGGTAAGAAGGAACATTCCCTGACCACCTACTGCATGTCATGTCAAATGAAATGTTAGAATCTTTGCATAGATGAGCTCATCAAATTCTAAAAAAAAAAAAAAATACAAAGCTATGAGAGATTCTCATTTCAAAATAGGGAACTGAGCTCAAATAATATTAACAAGTTGCAGAGCTGTGATTTAAATTCACATCTGTTCACTCACTAATCCAAGCTCTTTCTGCTTCACCATGCTGCCTCTCAAACAACAAAGCCTCCTTCTCTTCCCAAAAGTGGCCTGAGGTGACCTCTGAAAATGGTTCGCTATTCACTTGACCCAGAAAACCCCACAAAATCATGCAAATCAAGAGGTTCAAATCTTTGTGTTCACTTTGAGAACACTTGTGACACTGCCCAGGTCATCAAGGGTATGCATATCCAAAAAGACAGCAAGTATTTGAAGGATGTCACTTTACAGAAGCAATGTGTCCTATTCTGTCGATACAATGGTGGAGTTGGTAGGTGTACCCAGGCCGAAGAGTGAGTCTGGACAAAGGGTCAGTGGCTC